TGGAAGAGACCTTTAAGATCATCGAGTCCAACCCATGTTTTAACACCTCAACTAGATCATGGCACCAAGTGCCACATCCAGTCTTTTTTTAAACTCTTCGAGGGATGGTGACTCTACCACCTCCCTGGGTAGATGATTCCAGTATTTGACCACTCTTTCTGTAAAATACTTCCTCCTTAATTCTAGCCTGTATCTCCCTTGGCGCAGCTTGAGACTGTGTCCTCTTGTTCTGTCTGTTGTTGCCCGGAGAAAGAGACCAACCCCCAGCTCACCACAGCCACCCTTCAGGAAGTTGAAGAGAGTGATAAGGTCACCCCTGAGTCTCCTTTTCTCCAGGCTGAACAACCCCAGCTCCCTCAGTGGTTCTTCATATGGCTTGTGTTCTAAGCCCCTCACCAGCGTCGTTGCTCTCCTTTGGACACGCTCAAGCATCTCAACGTCCCTCCTAAAGTGAGGGGCCCAGAACTGGATGCAATACTCCAGGTGAGGCCTCACCACCTCTGTGTCCCCCCCACAGGCTACCTCTTCGCCCTTGGGCCCCTGCTCTTCGTCAGCATCTGCGACGTGTGGCTGGAGCTGTTCAGCCGCAGACAAGCCTACGCCATCAACCTGGTGGCTGTCGGGGTGGTGGCCTTTGGCTGCACAGGTATGGGGCACAGCAGCTGGGCTGGGACACGCATGGCAGGTAGGGGAGGGAAACAGCCCCATCCCTGAGCCGTGATCTGCTGGGAAAACCTCCTGCCCTGCTCCCCATAACCCTCAGGTCCCTGCCCCATCCTGTCCACCTCTGTCTGGGCATTTGGGACTGGCCAGGGGCACCAGCACCAAACCATGTCCTGATCACTGACACCACTGATCTGGGCCATGGTGGTGACATGCCAAGGCCCCACACCTGGTGGCCACTCTGGGTGGGAACAGACACAGTGGAGCATCCAGGGAGGGGAAAAAGGCCCTCCTGCTTTTGGAGCAAGGAGGCTGCTGGGAGGAGCAGCTCCCAGCTGTCACTGTTCATGGGTTCCCTCTGGGGTTTCTTCCCCCTTCCTGGAGTTTCAGCTGCAATAATCCCTTCTTCTCCCCTCTGTGCCTCTCTCCTGAAGTGCAGCAATCCAGCTTCTATGGCTACACGGGGCTGCTGCCCAAGCGCTACACACAGGGAGTGATGACGGGAGAGAGTAAGTACCTATGGCCATGGTCAGTACCCACGGCCATGGTCAGTACCCATGGCCACTGAGTGTGTCCACAGCCCTCCACAGGGACTTGCACCTTCTCCTGGGGCCCCAGTGAGTCACTCCTGGGTCCCCAGCACAGCCAGGAGATCAGGGTGCTCCCCAACAAACCAGAGAGTTTACTGGTTTTTAAGTCCCTGCACTGCCATGCCAGGCTGGGGGTGAGGATGCCGAGATTTATCACCCCAAAAATCACTTCTGGTGACTCCTCTGTATGGGGGAGCATCCCATCCACATGGTGGGGGGTGATGAGGATCCCTGAGCTGGGATTCAGAGGGGCCCAGCACTGACAGCTCCCCCCACACCACCAGGCACCGCCGGGGTCATCATCTCGCTCAGCCGCATCTTCACCAAGCTGCTGCTGTCGGACGAGAAGGAGAACACCGTCATCTTCTTCTTCATCTCCATCGGCATGGAGCTGACGTGCTTCATCCTGCACCTGCTGGTGAAGCGCACGCGCTTCGTGCGTTACTACACCGACGGCTCCCGCCAGGGCCTCCCCGAGAGCCGCGGCGCCGGCGAGCCCAGCTCCGGCTACCGCGTCCACCACGACGTCACCTCCGAGGACGTCAGATTTGTAAGCCAAGCGTGGGTTCCCCTGCTGTCCCCCGGGGTTCTTGGCCACTGCATCTCAGCGCTGCTGTCCTCTCCTCCCTCATGCAGGAGAGCCGGGAGCAGGGGCAGCCGAGCTCCCCGCGGGGCAGCCCCGGCCCCGAAGCTGAGCTGGCTGGCAGTGGCACCTACATGCGCTTCGATGTGCCTCGGCCCAGGATCAAGAGGAGCTGGCCCAGCTTCAGAGGTGGGTGGTGGGCTCAGGGGAAAGCCATACCTGTGGGGTGGGATAAATAAATGATGGTGACCCAGTGTTATGGGGAGGATCATTCCCAAGGCTGCAGAGGGACGTTTGAAAAGGGCATGGAAGAGCAGGACAAAGGGAAATGGTTTCAAACACAAGAGGACAGGATTAGATGGGATAGCATCAAGAAATTTTTCCCTGTGAGGGTGGGGAGGCCCTGACACATGCTGCCCAGAGAAGCTGTCCAACTGAAAGTGTCCAAGGTCAGGTTGGATGGGGCTTGCAGCCACCTGGGCTAGTGGAAAGTGTCCCTGTCCATGGCAGGGGGTTGGAACTGTATGGTCTTTCACAATCCCTTCCATCCCAAACCATATGTGATTCTATGATCCCTTTCCTAATGATGTGCCCATAACCTTGGGGCAGACTCATTTTTGGAAGCCTCCCTGTGGGTCAGACAAAGCTCTCAGGCTCTGCAAGGGGGCTGGGCTGCAGTTTTGGCTGAGCTGTGCTGCCTGTCCCTGCCAGACATGCTGCTCTACCGCTACGTCGTGTCCCGCCTCATCTGGGCCTACATGCTCTCCATTGCCATGACCTACTTCATCACACTGTGCCTCTTTCCCGGGCTGGAGTCGGAGATCCACAACTGCACACTGGGGGAATGGCTCCCCATCCTCATCATGGCCATCTTCAACCTCTCCGACTTCGTTGGCAAGGTAGGAGAGAGGCCAGAGCCAGCACAGGGGGGGTCTGTCCTGCTTTGGTGCCCTCTTTCTAAGCCACTTGGCTCCACCAAGGGTCATCTCCACCCATGGGGGTCTAACCAGTGTGAGGCTGGTACTCACCAGCACGGCCAAGGTTGGGTTCCCACAGCAGTTGGTCTTTCCACTATCCCATCTCCTTGTTACCCCACTTTGGGCACAGCGAGGCCCTCCCCATCCTCCTCATCCCCCCAGCGGAATCTCTGTCCTCACTGCAGATCCTGGCTGCCCTGCCCTACGACTGGAGAGGGACCCACCTCCTCGTCTACTCCTGCCTCCGCGTGGTCTTCATCCCCCTCTTCATCATGTGCGTGTACCCCAACGGGCAGCCCACCTTCGGCCACCCCGCCTGGCCCTGCATCTTCTCCCTCCTCATGGGCATCACCAACGGCTACTTCGGCAGCGTGCCCATGATCCTGGCCGCGGGCAAGGTCAGCCCGGAGCAGCGGGAGCTGGCAGGTAGGACCGAGCCCTCCTGGGAACCCCACTGGTGTGGCCTGAGCACCCTGACACCCCTGTCCCTTCCCACAGGGAACACCATGACCGTGTCCTACATGACGGGCCTGACGCTGGGCTCGGCCGTGGCCTACTTTGCCTACAGCCTCACCAGTACCTCCCACAGCAGCTGTTTCTACACTGAAACCTCCAATGGCTCCTTCACCTTGGGCTACTGAGCCCTGGGGTGGGGCAATGGGGACAGGGTGGGACCTGCTTCCCACCACGGTCCCCAGCGCCCCACACCCCTCCTCAAGGAGGGAGCCTGGAGCCTGGAAGCCGCCCCTGCATGGACAAGGACTGGTATCCTGTTGGCACAGGGCTGTGGCATTCCCAAACGGCCTGTGCTGCCCAGCCAGGCACTGTGCAGGGCCACTGCTTGGGGTGACATTCCTCCCACCCCAGGGGACAGTTCTTGTTGCTTTTGGGGGTCTCCCCATCAGCAATGTGCAGTTCTCCAGTGAAGGCTGGGGATCTGCTGTTTGCGCCAAGCCATTGACAGGAGGAAGAAAATACTGCCAAATCCCAAAGGGAATAGGACCAGCACTGGGGAGGAGGGTGATGGAGGGCTGGTGAGGAAGAAGAGGAGCAAGAGAGGAAGGAAGCACTCCTTCAGTCCCCCGTGGCTCTGGGAAGGTGGGTCTCCACTTCCATTGATGGTGCTGCAGGTTTTCACCAGGAATGGCTTGAAATCACAGTCCCTCCCTAAATATGCGAATCATATGGATGGGGAAAAAAAGATTTTTTTTTTTACTGTGTCTTGTTTTACCCCCCCCAACTGCAACAGAGGCAGGGTCTTGCCTCCCCCCACCCCACACTGTGAATCTGCTCCATTGCAAGGGGTACAGGGGGGGGTCCCAAGGCTGCAGCACTGCCAGTGCCACCTGCAGGCCACTGCTGAGCTTCAAGATTTATTGCGCAGGATGTAAGTGAAGCTGATTAAATAATTAAGTGTCTTTGCAACAATGGCTGGTCCTTAGCTGTGCCACACACAAGTGTGTGGGTGGCATTTGACTGCTGGTGATGGGCTGGGCTGGCAAACACACACAGGGTGGCACCTGCTGCCTGTCCTGTTGGGTTTTGGGGTGCCCCTGGTGCTGGTCTCCATCTTCAGGGCTCCCTTTGTCACCTGGGGTGGTGGAACACGTCACTGGGTTACACCAAACCCCTGCCAGCCTGCAAACTGCCGTGGGCAGCACACAGGAGAGGGAACAGGCCAAGGGGAGCAGAAAACATCAGGAGAAGGTGCCAACACCACGTTTTGGGACCAGCTGCACCTCGCTGTGCCAACTGGTGGGTGCCACCTCCCAGGGAATCAAGCCCAAGGAGCCAATGAGTGCCAGGCCTGGCCCCGACCTGGCCCCCACAGCACGGGAGGGTCTGGCAGTGCCAAGTATGAAGTGCAGCTCACACCAAAAAAGAGCAAATCCAGCATTTCATCCTCAGCACATGGTGCCCTGGGCAGGGGGGCAGGGGAAGGACTCACACCTCCAAGCCCTGTGCAGCAGACATCTCTACTCCAGTGTCCAGTCCTGTCCATCAGTGCCACCACCTCACACAGATGGGTTCTCCCCAAAAGGCCACCAGGCACCTGGGTTGTGTCTTTCTCCAGGGCAGGGGCTGAGCCAAAAAGCCATCATTGCCACCAAGGGGAGAAAAACCCTGCGGTCAGGACAAGCGAGACAAAGAAAGATGCTTCGTTGGGTTGCTTTTTTTTCAATTAGATTTTTTTTTTTTTTTATGAAAAAAGATCACACGGAGTTCTCCAACAAACAGAATGCCAAAAAAATTGTTTTAAACAAAACATAAACAAAACAAAACAAAAAGACAAAAACCTGGCTCTCCTTTCCTCTCGATTGTCTGAAATATCCTTGTGTTCCATAGAAGGCAGTGGGTTTTAAGTGCTTTCTATTTAACATTAGCATAAAATCTCTCTCGCGCGCTCTCTCTCTCGCTCTTTAAAATATGCTCACACAATTTGCTTCTAGAAGTACAGTACACTTTGAGCGTGGGGGGTGTGCCTGTTCCCAGATCATTTACAATCACAATCCAACAGGAAATAAAAAATAATATTCTAAACGTCAGACTGTGTTCATTTCTGCCGTTGTGGGTTTTTTTCTTTTTTTGTTTTTTATAATTTCATAATTTTTTTCACAGTTTTAAAAAGTTTATATTTATATATATATATTTATATTTATATTTATAATTAAAAAGTTGAATCCATTTAAAGACTTATAATACAGGAGGGCTAAAGAGTCTTTTGGTACATTAAAACTGTACAGGCTAGAACCGTCACTGTCCGCCGGTGGCCCGGGCTGGAGATGGTACGAGCTCAGCACCATGTGTGGTTTGTTTAAAGGACGAGGGGTAACTCTGTGGGGCTGTCCCTCACCCCTGAGCCCTGGCCTCCAGTCTCTGGTACGCTGCCAGGGTGGAGAGTTTCCAATCTGTCCTTGGCTTAAGCGTCGCCCCGCTCCGCGTCCCGGCCATCCGTAGTGCGAGTCGGGAGTTGCAAAGATCAGTGCGTCTCTTGGAGTTTTGTTTAAGTGCAAGGATGGTGCGTCGTTCTCCTCAGGTTCTCCTCCAGTGTTCCCTCTTGCCAGGTGTAACCCTGGAGCAGCAGTGGCAGCGCCCAAGGGAAACTCAGCTCCTCTGTGGATGGAGGCAGCTGAACGGTGCAGTCCCTGAGCCCAGGGTGGCAGCGGGGCTCTGGCTGTGGGAGCGCCGTGGGCAGGCACAGCCGGGTTCACACACTGCACCATTCCCTTCAAACCATGGGCAAGGCTTCCCAGCAGCTCCACATCACGGCACAGGCAAGGCATGGTGGGTAAAGCTGGGTGAGGGATGCCAGAATCCAGTGGCCTCTGATCTTCTCTCCTCCAAGCACCAAGCAGCAGCTTTTCCCAGTCTTTTCCTGCTCCATCACTGCAGCTTTTCCCAGTCTTTTCCTGCCCCTTCACTGCGCTTTTCCCCAGTCTTTTCCTCCCCCTTCACTGCACGCTCCAAGATGAGGTCTCAGTTTGCCACGTGTCACCCCCTTTGCCACTTGCTTGCTCCCTCCTTTGCAAGGCAGAAGGGGTGCAGAGCTGCAGAGGGTTCAGTTTGTTCAAGGCAGTGGGAAGGCAGCTTCCAAGACTGGATGTTGGCTCCCTCTTCCACCTGGCTCCTCCCAGGCCAGAGGATTCTCTTCTGCCATCTCTGCTGGAGCCAGCCCTGCCCTGTCGTGCTCCACACGCTGCCAGAGGGGCCTCCAGGGAAAGGGAACAGCAAAAAGGCGCTGAGAGGATCGAGACGAGGCGCTGAGAGAGACTCATCTCCTTTCTCTTTCACCCTGTCCTTCCTATAAAGGGTCATGCGAAACTAAGCAGGAAAGGGAATATAAGGACGGAGAGGAGCGCACGCAGAAGGCAAGAGGGTGCTTCCACGTGCGGGCGGCTTCCGAGTTACTGATGGGGAAAATGACACAAAAGGGATCCCTCCTGCCGGGGGGTCCCGCTGGTGAAATGATCACGAGACCCATGTGCTTTCCTGGACCAAAAGGAGGAAGGGAGAAGTTGGTCAAGTGTCACCGTACTTAAAGCCACTTCCAGAAGAGCCTTGGGGTTCAAGCACCACCACCACCCCCTCAATGGCATCTTCCTCGAGTCCTGTAACTGCTTCCCCAACCCCTTTCTTCAGCCTTCTCCTTCCTCCTCGCGTCTCTCGCGCTCTCCTGTCTGTAGTGTGACACAGAAATGAGCATTGAAAGAAACAATCATGTCGTCTGAACAGGCACGTCCTCAGGTTTGTCCCATCCCTTCCCAGGGGCTGGCATGTGTGCCCTGGGCAGTCAGCAGATGACAGGGACCCCGTCAGTGTTGAAGATCATGCCCGTGGTGGGCTCGTAGGTCCCTGCAAGGTAGTAGAGGTCCTCACTGTCTTGGTATTTCTTTGTCTTTAGCATCTGCTCATACTGATCCAGACCAACAACAAGACACTTGTGTGAGATGGTCTGGACATCATTTTCATCCACGTGGGAGGACTGGTAGAGGGCTCTCTGCACAACAGGAAGAGAAGGAAGGAGGTGGGAAAAAAAGGAGCCATTAGATCACACAGCATTTAAAGCATCATTTTCAATAAGTAGGAAAAACACTCATCATAATGGGGTAGGGACTCTGCTCACACTCAAAAATATCTCACTCATCCCAACAGCCAGCCCAGGGGAGGGACACTGGGAATATGTACAGGTCCATGGCTGGACAATTCCTCCATCCCACTGAACCTGAGCCCTGACTCTCACTTGGCTCCCACTGATGGGAATGCTGCAGCTGCCAAGCACACATACAGGGAAATATGGAGGCCAGGAGTTTGCCATCCTCATTTCAAGGATGCAAATGCAAAGACGGGTGCTGGATACCAGCTCCCTGTTCTTCCCCACACCCAGCACCTGCAGCTATTCCACCCACCCAGAAATATTCACCCCAAGTCCAAGGCACTGCAGACTTGGCAGCCAAGGCAAAAATCAAGAGCCAGAGAAGTTTGGGGGGCATTTGCAGTATTTATTTGTTACAGGGTACCCAGCATTCCCTCCCAGACTTCTCCCAGTCTCACCAACCTCCATAAAGTCCTTCCTCTGGTTGGATGCCTGCAAAGCTGTGGCCAGACTCCTGCCCGATTTCTGATCCCAGCGCTGTGATGAAGAGGAAAAGAGGAAACAGAAATGAAAACCTGGTGAATTTGTTATTTTTCCATGTCATCATCTCCTGCCCACCACATGTGCTTTTGGACCTTCAGCCCCTGCCCATTGCCACTAGGAATAAATCCTGCTGTCAACCAGCTGCACACATGTGCAAAATTCAGTGTTTCTGAGCACCAAGCCCATCCTTCTTACACTTTAAAGATATGATCTGGATCTTGACACTTTTTTGGGACTCACACAAAAGTCTTTATTTCCTAATACAAAGAAACCCACCCCTCCCTTCTTCAAGGGCCCAACACTGGACTTGCCCATACCACAGATGAAAAACATGGGGCCACCCCCTTCAAGGTACCAGTAACGAACTGGGCTTTGGGTATTTTCCTCATCATTGGAAACAAAAGGGAGCAAGGAGCTTTGCAGCCCTCTCAGCAAAGGAGACCAGCCTACCTTGCCTTCATTGAGTTTCTTCCCAGGGTTGGTTTCTTCTGGGTGATAAAACCATTTGACTCTGACCACCATGTTGTTGCCCCAGGACTCCCACATGCTCTGGATGCGGCCGATGTAGGGCAGGTTGGGGCGGCCGGCGGAGAGGAAAACGGCGCAGTCCCCGATGCGGATGATCTCCTTGCCCCGCACGATGGCCTTGTAGAACAGCTTCCTGGCCTTCCCTTTCATTCCTCGTCTCTGCCAAGAGAGGACCATGCAAGTGGTCAGCCAGGGATCACCCACATTTTCCCTACAAACCAATGTTTCCCCTGTTTGTCCTGCATGCATCCCTTTGTTGTTGGCGGTATTCCCACAGGAATTGGGGCAGAGGGATGCACCACACAGAATGGCTTCCCCAACACAGTGAAAGCCAACTGCCATCTCCCTGCACACGTGGCACACCATGCCAGCAGTTTTACCACCTCAGGAAAAGGGAAGTGGCATCAGGAGGCAAAAACAGTGCTGAGTGCCGAGCACTACGGAGCGTTTACCTGTGTGGGCTTCCCAAACCACTTCCACAGCTGCCGTGCCGGGAGGAAAGCGGCAATCTTGGGCCTGTTCTCCACGGAGGGCAGGCGCTGGCGCTTGGCCAGCTCCTTGGTGGTGGGCAGGTGGATGCCCTCGCGCTTCTTGGGCCGGCTCTTGTTGCCGCCCTGCGGCGCTGCCGGCTGCTGCTGCGGCTGCTGCTGCGGCTGCTGCGCCGGCTGCTTCTGGCTCTGCGGGTGGGAGGACGCCCGGGATTTCCCTGCCTGCTTGGCTGGCTTGGCTGGGAGGGTTTGCTGCACCGAGGAACTCGGCTGGGCCTCAGCTACTTCATCGTCAGAGCTACACGAGGAATCTTCATCCGTAGTGGAGGAGGAAGAAGAGCTGGAGCTTGATGAAGAAGAGGTTGATGAGGTGGAGGAAGAGGAGGAAGATGAAGATGAAGAGGAGCTGCTGCTAGAAGAGGAAGAAGAGGAGGAGTTGGAGGAAGAGAGAGGGGTGGATGCTCTTGAGCTGGCTGAGCTGCTGTCCTGGGCTTCCCCTTGGTTCTTCTCAGCCTCCTCTTCTCCCTCTGACTCTGAGCTGCTGTCACTGCTGTTGCTCTCAGACTCCTCCACACCTGCTGGAGCTGCTGCCTTTTCTTCCTGGTCCTTCGAGGCAGCAAGGCTCTCTGCTGAGGCATCAAACTTTCCCCCAAAGCTGGCAGGGGAAGGGTCTCCCTCAGCCACCTTGGCTCGGGAAGATTTCTGCTTGCCCTCCACACTCACTGCAGCAGAATAGCCCAGCCCCAAGAGACTCTTCCCATCTCTGCGACTGGCCAGGTTCGAGTCCTCCAGCATCCTCATCGCCTCCTTCATCTTTTTTGTCTTTGGAGACATCACACCCTCATGGTCCAGCTTGATCAGGATTTCATTGTCATGCTTCCTCTGAGCCTTGACCATGGTGCCAAACTCTTGTGTCTCCTCTGTGGGCCGCCCTTTCTTGGCCTTGGCTTTGGACACCGAAGCATCGCTGGAGCCAAAGGCCGCCAGCGTTCCCGGGAGATCGCCATAGGGCTCCGTGCCCAGGATGCTGCCAAACACAGCAGGCTGGTAAGAGGGTTGGGGGTTGCTGTGCAGCTTCGTGGAGATCTTCATTTTGCTGGCTTTTGAGCGCTTTTCCTCTGTGGGAGCGGGAGAGCCTCCAGTCGGCAGCGGTTGCGATTTTCGCGACCCCTTCATGCTTGGCTTGCTCAAGCAGGCCGGCTTCTCTGGGACTGAGGAGGTAACAGGTGAAGATTCCACCTGCTCCTTCTCTTCAGGCAAGGCAGCCTCTTCTGCAGAGGGGAAAAAACACAAAGACATGATGCTATCCCTCCAGATGGGCTTTATTAGCTCAGACACAACCAGACACCAGTGCTGACTGGTCTCTGGCCAAGCATGGCTTGTTCCTGCCTGCTCAGGTACCCCCAAAGGAGCACAAGGGGTGTCTTCAATGCTCACTGAACAGCCTGGCCTGGTGCCAGTACTTGTGAGAAGTGATGGACAATGCCCAGGGGTGCTGCTGTAACTTCAGGAGAACCAAACTACAAATCTCCTGTACCTTTGGCTCTATTGACAGCTACAGAGATGCTCAGCTGAAAAAAGGACTCTGTGCTCCACATCCCTGACTGACAGAAGGAGGCTGTCACAGCACAGGCCAGCTTCCAAGCCAGCCTCCTGTAAACTGTAGCCACAGCAGAGGGAGATGCATGGGTGCTTTGCACTCAAGCAATGCATCCATCCTCACCCAAATCCTGCTCCAAGCAACAGCCCTAACTTGGGGAGAGCAGTGGGGAACTGTGCAAGGATTCCCTCTGCTCCAGGCCTGGCAGTGTGCAACTTACCAGCTTTGGCCTTGACACTTGGCTTTCTGCCTCGCCCTTTGCCCTTTGACACAGGCTCCTCTGACCCCAGGGCAGATCCCTCTTTTCCTTCTCCAGTGTCTTTGCTGGATTTACGGCTTCTGCGCTTGGTGCTGGGCACCAAAAGGGCAGGGGAAGGCTCAGCACCTGGAACAGGTCAAAGAGATGTTCAAATGCAGTCAAATTACACATAAAACAGAGATGGGATAGAGTGAAAGTATCCCAACCAAATCTATCGCAACAGGGACTGGACCTTTTTCCTTATGGGTGATATCCCACCCCAGCTCCATGTTCCGTAATTGATGGTGCAAATCTTTGTGACTGGAAGTCTGTGAAATTATCCCAAAATTTGAGGAAATCAGCCCAAAACTCCATATATGTCAGAGCAGGAAGTGTCTTGCAATAAACTGAACAGCAAGACTCACACTGGATCTTGTAGTCAGGTGGGAGAAGCCGAATGTGAGACAGTGGGATGCGTCCCGTGTCCCCGTCATCGAACTCTACGGTGATGAGATCACCATCTTCCTCCAGATCCAGGGTTCCTGTGGGATGGGGGAGCAGCAGATGGGATTAGCAACAAACATCAGAGTACAAACCCCTTGTAAGGGAAGTGGGGACATGGGGAAAGACAGGGGTGCTGCAGCAGCTGCAAAGCACCCACTTCACCTCTCCTGGGCTGTGCAGGGAGGGCACAGAAGGCTCACTCTGCAATGGAAAGTCCCTGATAACACTAAACCAGCCCACTCAGTGTGAAATTCCCCATCAGCAGCACTGCTCCAGAACATAACAGCCATTCTAGTTTGACTTCCCACCTCTCTCCACTATTTCCCTTTATTTGCAGAAATTAACTTCTCTCCTTTCACTGAAATATCTTTTTTTTTAAGCTGAATTTTTAACTACTCTCAGCCATCATAAACTGCTGTTTTTCACCTTCTCCAAGAGAATTGTGTTCTCAGCCTCTCTTCTTGCATTAGCATTACTGGTTTACACATCATAAGTAATTATTCCCTTTTACATATGCGGTATTACCAAGATCCCAAAAACAACACCAGCCATGGCAGAATTGTCCTGAGCCATTCAGGACAACTCACCAACTTTCTAATGGGACCAGACTGGTGTTTCATTTCAGAACAATAGTTGTGAGTATCCAGGTGATTTAGAAACCTCCACAGCCTCAGAAATAATCGATGCTTGGAATAAATTCTAACTTTCTGAAATGTATTAAATGTCCTTGATGTATTTAAACTCTTAAATTGCTTGAACCTCTTCCTGAACCTGCAGGATGTTACTAAATCTGCATCATTAATGAGAGGGGCATGACCTGGAGGAGAGAACAAGCCAGGCTCTGACTTCCAGGACACTCCCAGCAGAGGTGAGGGCTTGCCCAGACAAGCCTGACATCCCTGAGGACACACAGGGCTGAGACATCCCAGGTTCAGAGCACAGAGCAGGCAGGGTGGCCTTACCTCGGACAACTGTCCCTGGGTAGAGGCAGCGGTACTGCTGGCTCCAGTAGGCCGCAATCCTCGTGCCCTCGGGCAGGAACCGCACTGAGGGGGGCTTCACATCGATGATCTGCTCAGGGCAAGAGGAAGGCAATCACTGACCACCCTGGCACCAGCACAGACCATCCCAGCTCAGCCGGCATGGAGCAAAGCAGCTCTATGGATGCCAAGGGACATATCGCTGCAGCTGGAAGAGGAAAGAGCTTCCAGCTAGCCTCCCCCACCCCAGAGCAGGCCATGGGCACCGAGCACAGGCAGCTGTGGCAGCACATACCGCTTCCTGCAGGAGCTGCTCCAGGCAGTAAATGTGGGGACGGTTCCCCCTCTCGCCCTCCACCACCACGCGGTATCTGAAACACAAAGGCTGGGTCAGACACAGCGCATGGGAGACACCACCCCCTCCAGGTAACGCCTCCCTCTGAGGGGAGAGCATGTGAGAGCACTTCATGAGAGATAATTGGATTTCCCTCAGTGCTGATAAACCAGAGTGGACTCTCCTTCTCTCCCTGCCAGACTCTGTCAGTCTCTGGGCAGCCAGCTCTACACAACCCCCAAACTGATCCATACAGCAGCTATGTCCCCATTATCTGGCAGAAAGAACCCTGGTGGATACAGCAGCCCCTCCACTCACATGTCTGGTGAATGCACTGTCTTGACATGCCCAGCATAGAGCAGTTTGTCATCCATGGGGATGAGGACACGCAGGCCATCCTTCAGCTCATCCTTGTCAATGATGCAGGAGCGGGGAGCTGTGAGGTGTGGGAGAATGATGGGGATTAGAGAGAACCACACATGGGAAAGGGACAGTGAGGGGAGAAGGAAACTTAATAATCCCAGCATCACTGAACCCTCTCTTGGTAATAATAACATACCAGTAATGAAAATAGGGCAACTCAGAGACTGGGCTTCAACTAGATGTCAGAGTGAGCCATGCTGATCAGGCTTAGTTTTTACTGAATTGACTGAGAAAGTGGTGTCTCCACTCCAAAGACTCATGGCTTTGGATGAGGAATGTGTGAAAGCAGCACAGTTGTCCTCTGAGCAGCCCTGGGAAACCTGCCCAGCTCCCCTGCCTATAAGATCCTGCCCTTACCTGGTGTGGGTGGCCTCTCAACCAGCATGCTCAGTGGGATGTTCTCATCCTCTGAGAAGCTGCTGTCTTGGTTGGGTTCAAAATCCTCCTCTGCTGCCATGCTCTCCATGAGCTTGCTGACAGCTCCTCCCTTCCCTCGGTTCTGCAGGACAGCAAGCAGCACATCAGCTGGATCACCACAGGAAACAGCCTGATCCCTTCTCACCTCCCTCCAGCAAAAAATAACCTGAGGATATCAGGACAAACCTGCCTCCATCCTCAGCATGGAGAGTTAAGTGGGGGTACCCACACTTTTTGCTGCCTTCATCCCCCAAGCATCACCAACAGTTAACCAAAAGCTATTTCCCACATCCTCACTCTTAGAGGCTGGCAGAGATGCTGTGGAGCTCTAGTTTTGCTCTGCATCACCACAATGCTCCTGATCCTCTGCCTTCCCCAAACAGGCACCAGGCACTGCTCCTAATTCTTCTGCAGTCTCCATGACATGTTCCTTGCTGTTACACACAGACCATAAGCATCACACAGAAATACAGAAATCATGTGAGAAGGCAGCAATGTGTGTTATGAGAGATGACAGGCTGCAGCAGTGGAGCAGGAACCAGCTGTGCCCCAGTGCTGAGCAAGGCCACTCCATCACCATCTCCTTGGTCCTTGCTGTCCATGCAAGCTCTCTCTCCACCCCGTGGCAGCCTTGGAGAAAATCCTGCCTGCTCACTGATTTGGGGGATGAAGGCAAATGAACACCAGATGGTAGCAGCAGGTACTATCAGAGAATTTTAGGCTTTTCAAACCAGCTCTTTGCCTGTCACAGACGCAGCAAAACCTGCACCTCTGCTTTCCCTCCCTCACACTGCAACAGCCCAGGTGCTCTGCCAGCCACCCTCCACTCCAGCCACACTAGAACCAGCCCCTCACCTCTTTTTTCACCTCCTTGGCTTTCACCTTAGCTTTGCTCTTCTTGGTGGAGCCCAGGGCACTTGCCAGGCTGACCCGAACATCAGAAGGGGAGCTGGGGATGCCAGGAGGAGACATGGATGAGGAGGAGGAGCAGCAGGGCGTTTCTTTACCCTTCTTCCGCTGCTGAAAATAAAAACAAAACACTTCCATCAGTAAAGAGAAGATTGGTAAAGATCTGGGTCCAAGGAGAGGGAAAAGGAGGAGCAAGGCAGGCTATGCACAGGTAGGACTATGTTCAGCCAGCAGTTGGTTCACTGCCCACATCACATCCTACATCTCCCAGCTCTGCTTTCTGGTTTCACACATTTTGGGAAGAGCTTTTCATTGCACTGGAGAGCAACTCCTGCCCATCAAATCTGCCTCCAAAGAGCTCCAAGAAAATCCCAGTTGGCCTCATGTCACAACTCACTTGTCTAACTCTCCCCATCAGTGTTCTTCCATAACACTGCCATGAACTGAACTGGAGCCAGAGGGAGCCAAGCATTCAGCTTAGATGAAAAGCCAGTAACTCAGATACCACCGTCACCCCCAGCCAGGGACAGACCTCAGAAGCCACCATGTAAAAGGGGAACAGCCTTAAAGGCCAGTCCGGGGGCCACAGGTCAGCAAGAGGACAACCTCATGCAGAGAGTGGGAGAGAGATTTCACAGGATCTGTTTTAATGCAGCATCATCAACTCTGGCCACCCAAACAGAATAGATTTGGGACATGGAGGGTGACAGAAGTAACCAGCCCCATTCAAACATGGCTTTTACTCCCTGCAAGTCAGATCCAAGTCTGACAGAACCTCTGGGTGTCCAGGGGGCAGCCAAACAACTGCTGAGACAGGACTCAACTCTCCTTTCCCTTAGTGGAGTTTATTGCCCTCCCTTCACCCCCAGCTTCCAAGCATCGCAACACCAATCTGGTTCCTCACCTTGCTGAGCTCCTTCCTGTCCTTGCCCTTGCTGCTCTCCTTTTTGGGGCTCATGGGGGCCCCCTTGCCGCAGCGGCCAGGTTTGGGGACAGGGGTGGAGCTGGCAGGGGCTGTGGATGTCAGCATGGCCGAGGAGGTGGTGGCGTCATGGAGGAAGATGCGCTCGCTGCGGCGCCGGTTCCACAGGTCGTCATCGCTGGCCTCCAGCCCGAACTCAAAGCTCAGGTCCTTGGGGGATTTGAATTTCTTCAGCTTTCGGCCTTTCTCAGAGCCCAGCTTGGCCTTGTCAGCGCTCCCAGATGTGGAGTCCAGGCTGCTGGGGGCCTGGCTGGCCGGGATGCTGCTGGGCTCCAGCGGCCCCTTCTTGCCGCGCAGCAGCCCCGAGGGAGACTTCTTCCTGATCTTGATCTCGCTCTCCGAGTCAGTGTACTCAAACTCTGTCCCTAGGAGCAAAGGATTGAACCATCAGTCAGAGCCCTGGCTGAGCCAAGAGGGGACACATCCTGCTGGAAACCTCTGGGCTCCATGGGAGATGCTGTGCCTGTTCAATAGAGCTCTCACTTGTTCCTCTTTCCAATCCTCACATCCCTCAGATCTCCATTTCTGACCCATAAAACACTCTGGAAATTCCCTGGAAGTAAGCCTGCCCTGCTCCAAACCAGAGGCCAACAATTCAGGCAGTGTGGTTCAGTGTGTTCCCTGCCTCCATTTTCTCCCCTCTCCCACAGGCAAAACCCTGCAGGGAAGCTCTGAAGAGAAAATAGACTTTAACATGCCCCTCCTCAAAAAGGAGCTGCTCAGCTGAAACCAAGCATAAACCCCACAAGCTGATCCCTGCTTCTCTCCTGGTGGGAGCCCTCTCCAGTTTCACCTTTGTTTCAGGAGAACAATGTCTTTTAACAAATGGAATAAACCCAAATTTCAAGCTTATTTTTTCCCACTGGCCAACAGACACCACAAATCCTTTTACTGGCTCAAGGAGTTGCCTTAAAGTCAAGAGAGGTAAATGATCTTTTGTCTGCGGCAAATGGAATTCCCCTCACACTGGCGTCTGCTCAGCACCACGAGCACAGCAGTACCCAGAGGCCTGAAATTCTGCAGTAATGCCAAGATGTTCCTGACCTTCACTGCGCTCCCCTGAACCTGATAAAGGAAAGCAAGAGGGGCAGAAGAGAAACTGAGGCAGCACCTACATCCAGCAACATGGGCAGGAGGTAGGCAAACAACATTCCCGTGGGAAAATGAAAATGTACATGGCACAAGCAAGGAAAGCATCTTCTCTTGGTCCTTCTCTCAAATACACTCACTTTCCTGGGTAAATTCAGTCTGCAGGAAAACTGCTCTCATCTACCCAACCCTCTTCCCCTGAGACAGCCCCAGCATGGAGAGAAAAAGTGCCAGCATGTCAAAAACAAAGCTGGCAAAGCTCAAAATGAAAAACCCATTGGAAATTAAAACACTCCTTCTCCTCTCTCAGTACTGCATGAGGTAATTTCTAGATGCTTCCAGTTTCAAGGAGGGCAGATTACAAGACAATAAATTCTTAGCAGAGGCTGTTGGAACAAGTTGGCAAAAGCCTAATATAGCATGGAAACAGTGCTAAAACAAGCCAGGCTCCCAAGGAGGACATCATTTTCCATTCTGAAGCATGCTATAAATTCCATTATCACTTAATAAATATTAATAGAGAATTTATAAATGGAACCCATATAGATCTGTCTGACCAGGAACAATGACACCAATGGGTACTTGTGCAGCAGGGCATGGGGAGGGGAAGAAATGAAACTCCCAACACATTGAAACTGAGACAGAGGCAGGGCAGAAAACCAGATTCTGGCACTGCAAACACATGAGCAGAGAAAGGAATGTTTTTTTCAAGTCTCTCTGGCTGGTTTCTATAAAGAAGCTGATGGGATGGGCTGATGGAAAGAGCTTTTCTTCTGCTTGGGTGTCTGTGCTTCCCTTGGGTATCCAAGATCAGCTGCATTTAGCACATGCTTCCTTCTCTAAAATTTAACAGCACTTCAGTGCCTTCTGCACTCTGTCCAAGGGGATGCAGCATCCCCCTGCTTGCCTTTGCAGTGTGTCTTGTTGAGAATTTGCCAAAAAATTCTCAAGAGAGCAAAAGAGGAAACTTTGACAAAGCCACAGCTGTCCCTAGGGATGCCATGTCCATGACTGGCTTTTGTCCCCCTATCAGCCACTTTCTCCACGTTCAGCATCAGGACCAAGCTGCCGAAGCAATGAAAGGGCAGCTCAGTGTCTGGGTACCCAAACTGCTCTCTTGCAGCACAGTTGGGACCTCCCAAACCTTCCACCTTGCCCCCACAGCACCACCATGGAACTCACCCATCAGGCTCTGCCTCTCCTCCTTCTTCTTGGCCTTCTGCTTGGCCTCCAGCTGGATGATGGAGAGCGGAGGGGGAACGATGGGGCTGGGCATGGCGCTGGCAGCAAACCTGGCCAGAAGGCCCAGGCCACTCTCATCCAGGGCAGGCGACGACAGCCTGTCTGTGCCATCCGTGCCATAGTCCTCTGCTTCCTCCTCTTCCTCCTCATCGTCATCATCCTCCTCCTCGGAGCTGGAATCTGGCACGCAGAGAACAGGGAGTGCGTTACAAACCTCACGGAGCTGTGCCCCAGCCACAGCCCCAACCCGGAGCGCGACCCTCCTGCTGCTCTGTGCCCACCAAGGTGGCACTGAGCCACCCAGGACTGAGCCACAGGACGCTGGCCATGGGCACACACGTGTCCTTGCAGCCATAGAGCCGCTGTCACCCTGCCTGCCACCACCCTGTAAGGACTCAGCAATGCAGGGTACGGCAAAGATGACCCACTCGGGGCAAGGGAGGGAAGAGCAGGGTGCTGGCAGATTTGAAAAGGATGCCAGGCACCCCTTCCCTACAGCTTTCAGGAGGAATTAAAAGCTTAATTCCTTTGAAAATCCCAACCTGGGAGCTGTGGGATTCCCCTCCCGCCCACCAACACTTCCTCCATAATGAAATCCATTAGTGTAATCAGAACCAGAGATCAGCAGGGAAGGGGAATACCAGAGAGCAGCCTGAGCCATGGCGGGAGGCAAGGGGAACACAGAGAGGAGAAGGGGCAGGAAGCAAAAATGCAAAGAGAGGGGGAAGAAATAATAATTCGAAAGCAATGGATTTGGAATGCATAAGGGAGGAAAGTGTGGGTAGTGCTGGAGACAAGGAGCAGTGTTTGAACCCTCTCCATGCCTTTCATTTCCCTCTCTACAGCTCAGGATAGGGAAGCCCAGAGCTCAGCGCAGGCAGGAAGAGCTGCTCACAGCCAAAATCTAATTCTGGCAAAGAAATCACCTTCACTGCCTGCCTCAGCTGCCACCTGCAGAGCAGTGGGCTGGGGGTTTCCTCTAGGGTGTGTACACAGCAGGTATTTTGGGGGTAGATGCTCCAAGAGTGGCACCTCTCCCTCCCTACAGCGCTTCCCAAGGGTCTGTCAGCAGCTCAGAGGCAATTAATTTTAACAGCATCTCATCCAGTGAGCGCTGGTGAGCAAGCCACTTCACAGATGCACATGTACCACACACACACATATATGAGCACACAGATCTATAAAAATATATATATTTAACTGCAAAACGTGGGTCTGGAAAAGATATTTCATTTCTTTTGAAATTGAGGGCTTAAGTAGGATCATTGAGGCTGCTGGAAAATTTCCACCACTAGCAGGAGCCCTGTTCTGAGCCCACTCCCCAGCTCCTACCAGCCACTATCCTTGTGTCTGAAATCCAGCCAAATGAGAAAACAGATCCCTTCAAAATGAGCTGGAATGAACATGAAAATCCTTTTCTTTTCACATATGCCCTCTGGGATAGATAAAAACGTCCTCAACACTTGGTTGCCCAGAAAAAAAAAATACAATAACACAAGTGTTATTTTTCCATGATATTAGAAAGAACAGGAATATCAGAAAACAATGTTCTCATTCTTGTATTTTATCAACTGAGGTAATTGGCAGCTTTTTTTGCCTTTTTTTTAACATGGATGGCTTATCTCTGTAGCATACATCTGATAGTCAGAGAATACTAATTTTTAACTGCATAAAAATTGCTTCCCCATTTCAGTTGCTCAGACTCGTTCCTTGTGATATAAAAATGCTACTAAACCTACAGTCCTGCAGTCAATACCAAGAAATCCACAACCCTGTTCACTCCTTGCATAAAAACCACATGCAAAAAAAAAATCCACAGCAAATTGGGATCAGATTCCTTCCCCTTCCAGAAAACGAGTCACAACTGCTGGTTTTAAATCACATTTTGCCAAAGAGAAAACAAATCCAGATGAACTTTATTCTGAGACGTGAAAACCACCTGCCTGAAAAGCAGCAAAACCGTGCCTGAGTTCAGTGACACCCTGTGGTGTAGGAAGACCTTCTTCATCCATCCCATCTAGCTCTGAAATTCAGCAATTTTCAGCAAAAACAGGGGGGGAAAAAAAGTAAAAATCAATCTGTACAGCCCCTCATGCCAGACCTGAGAGCTGGATGAGCAGAGAGTGACTCAGTGAGCAGATGGGGAGGAAAATGGGGGGAAAAAAGGGGAAAGTTTGCAGAAAAATCCATAATCAGTCTAGCCCCACAGGCTCAGCCCCACTCACTGCTCAGCACCACATTCCTTCAGCACTTACACACTGCATGTGCAAGGGCAAAAGGGTGCCCTGCAGCTCCAGTATTTCAGAGGCACTCAGGTAGAACAGATTTAAAAGGCAGGATGGCAGAGGCTGCTCTCAGGCTACAGAAAATACAGAGCACAATGAGGGGCCTGGTGGTTATTGCAGCCTCCTGCTCACACACAGCGTCACGCTACAGAAAGACAACTGAAGACAGTCCCTTGTCAGCATTTTTACCACAACACTTATATTTTTATCTGCAGGAGATACAATTTCCAGCCTGAAAATAACCCCATTTTAACACATTCACAGCACAGATCTATCCTCCTCCACCTCTCATGGAGAGGATAGATCTTGCTAACCCCACTCCACATGCACAACACAATCCCTGCTTCTCTTCTTGCTGACTTTTCCAAGGGACAAAAAGTAACAAATGAAGCAAAAGGAAGACATTTGGGGCTCTGCTCCAAGCCCACATGCTTCTAAAGTAAGTCCCCAAACTTCTGGCCATGGTGGCATGCTGCTCTCTGTCCATCTGTAGGGCTCCTTGGAGAGACTGGTGCCTGTATTTAATGGGAAGCAGAAGTTTCATTCCTACTGTACCCAAACTACGTGTGGGTTTAAAATTAACTATGCACAGATGCCTTCACACAATTGAAGCCTCAATATTTTTTCTGCCCTGAAAAGGTGATTTTTAGCTAGCAAGGGGGAAAAAGGCATTTTTAAAAAAAAATTATGTTTTCCTTCAATGGTAATTCTGTTCACACTGAGAGAGGGTAAAGGAAAAAAATGCTCAAAGTTAAAAATATCTTTTCTAATTGACATTTTTATGTATATGTGTGTATATACCCACACACGCAACCACACGTGTACATACACAACTCCACAGCCAAAACAAACAATACATTCGTATTTAAATGCTACTGATGCCACATAAACAGGAGCCAAAGATAATTTTAATTTTTACCTGCACTGAATTAAAACCCAAACCCAGCTAAGAATACTTAGTTTTCTCATTGCTTTTAACAGCTAAGCTGCCATGGTATTTTACTGTAGGAGAGCAGTAAATGAAGATTTGTTAATGATGAACAGAAATTGGTTAAGCAATTTGGTTTTTAGAGACTGATGTATGTAACAAGACGAGTTGAGGGGGTGTGAAGAGGAAAGGCTGGGGAAGGGAGGGAGTAAAAACACACACTTAAAACAGTCATTTCACATTGTAAAAATAAACAGCATGATTTTCTCATAACACCAAGCAGGTCTACAGCATACAAAGCAGGCTAAGTACAGGCAGACTTTAGACAGCTACTGGGTCATTAACATCTGATTTCTGCAATCTGTCCAAATTCTGGAGATTACTTATTTTTGAGTGCCCAATTTAAGACTGTACCTTTTTTTTTTTTTTCCAGATAAGCCAATTCTCATCATTGGAAGATTGTTCCCCTCCACATGTGCTGTGCTGTTGACTCCAGAAGTGCTTATGAAAAATTTTAAAATATTACAACTATCACATGGGAATGTGTAGGGAACTGGTTACATGTCACTGGGTTCTTTGGTTTTTTGTTTTTAATTAGGGTAAAATCATCCTCCAAGTCAGGAGAAAGAGAACAGAGAATAAGGTACTAATTTTTTAAGGAAAACAGAGTATGGAGGAGGAGGACTTATGGGTCTTTGGTTTCAGACAGCTCAAGGAATTACGTATCCTGTTGGGCTTTAGCCCACATTAGCATTTTCCTCTCCAAGGTCACTGGATTAAAACCCACAAGCTTTGCCTCTTATCAGAATGGCAATGTGATGTTTGGTCTGTAAGAAAGCAGTGTCCCCCCTCATCTGTGTCTAACCAGATGACAGAAAACAGGTCTTCCTGCATCTAATCCCACCTTTGGCACAGATACTGCAGGGCCAGGGCCAGACAACATCCCTGACATGGGGACATTTCTGCACCGTGATCCAGAAACCTTTAAGGTTTGCATCTCAGACTCATCCACAAATCCTTGCCCTGGCTGGGCTAAGGGGTTCTCCAAAAGTAGTTCTGCAAGCAGCAAAGCATTTCTGGAGTCCTCAGACACAAACACACATGTGCAAACCTTCCATGTGAGACTCTTCATGGACAGAGAAACTTGAAAGCGGACAGCAATCATTTTCAAAATTAAAATAACCAAGAGAATGCAAAGAGCTACGTGTCATTATTCATGGAGGCAACAGCGAAACGTCTGAGGCTGACAGATGACATAAAGAAAAGTTATTTTGCCTACCTACATAACAATGGTCAAGGTTCAGGTTCATGGCTAGTGACCCCTCGCTGAGAAGTGTCTGCCCTACAACCAGCCAACCACTTTGCTTCTTTAGTGCAGCGTGAGAGCAAATGCAAGAGACCGACACAGACATTCAAAGCATCATGGATAGGGGCAGGGGTGAAAGGGTTGGTCAAGCAGCTGCAAGGAGAAAGCGAGCACTTCTAGAAAAGCTGAGGTTATTAATCGGTTTAGTATTCAGGGAAAGCCATCAGAAACCCTATTACCCAAATATCCCTTCAAGAAATGATTCTGACAACAACAACAAAAAAAAATTAAAAAAAGAAAAATTCATTTGCAGGAAAAAAAACCCGAATTGTAAGCAATAATCCCTTCCCGCCTCCCTCTCCATACCCACCTCCCACCCCAGAGGGTTTTGCATCTTTGGTTTCCCCACCATTAAATGACACCCCAAAGGGATTTGCAATGCATTTCCCCATTTGTTCCAGATTCCCCAACCTCCTCCCATAACCCCTTCCCTCCCCAGATTTTATCCCATAAAACTGGGATTTTTAGTTTATTTCTTTTAATAAAGCAGATAGGTTACTTGAAAAATAGACAAAGGGACAAGTTACCTCTCTGCTTACCTGGAGCAAAACCAAAAAGCAAACCCAAAACCCCCCTCAAGAACTTGGCACCCAAAAGGGATTGATATCCTCAAAATTTCCAACAGCAGCAAAACAAACAAAGAAAAGATGCGGGAAGGAACAAGAAAGGGAAGAATGGAAGTTAACGCAGACTCTTCATGGAAATGTGGCAATCTCAGCCTTACATAAAATTCACTCTCCCCACAACTTTTTGGGCTCTCTAAAGAACAATTTTTCTTTTATTTTCTTTCTTTTTTTTGACATATGTATCTCTCTTTTGGGTTTTCTTTGAAATGCATTGGTGGGTCCAGCCCAGAGCCACATCAAAACAAATCAACATTCTGTATCTTTCTGCCATGTTTGATAATTTTCTTTTTTTTATTTTTTTATTTTTAGCTTTAATTATCTTTCTTTGGAGGTTGGGTTTGGAGGGAAGAAAAAACCAAACAGGTGCACGGAGGAAATTAACATCAAAAAACTCAAAAAATAAAAAAAAAAAACCAAAAAACCAAAAAACAAAAGCCAAACTATCCAGCCCTGTTTTTCAATTAACAGCCCTGAGCAGTGTAAAACACTAAAAGGCTTTTGCTGGGCTACATCCAGCTCTGCCACGTAACTTAGATAACAACTGGGGATGCTCTTGCTTTGCATTCAGCCCAGCCAAGCTGGTTTCTTTCGGGAGCTGAGGGCTCATTAAAATGACCTTTCCCCATGATTATTATTTAATGAGTGCGCTCTAAAACAGAAACCCCTTGTGTCTCTGGAGGAAAAGTCTCAAGTAATCTCTTTTCCCACTGAAGTACTAATGACAGGCTGACAAAAAAAAAAAAAAAGCTGCAAGAAAAAAATTGGGTTGAGGGTGAGGGAGGGAAACTGGAGAGTCAAATTTAATGCAGTAATTGCCACATCCTTGAGCACCGTGGGTTACGTTTGGGCATCTGAAAAAAAAACCCTACCACCCAAAAAGAGACACAAAAACTTGACATTTACGTTTTAAAAAATTAAAAAGAAAAAATTCTGGCTGTTAAATACACCCTGCACCCTCCTGCAGCAGCAACAAGGAGTCAGTGCCTCCATGGTTTATGTGCCTGGAGAGAGTCTAACAGCAAACAAACTGAGAAATATAAAACTAAAAATGGGTGAACAAAAAAAAAATTAACTTAAAGGGGTTGGGGGGGAAAGGGGGAAGCCTAGGCTTTATCTGGACAAAGGCAGCAGGGATATTTGAATAATAGAGAGTACCCCAGACTAGGTTAATTCCAGTTCTACTGATGGGGAGTGGGAGCAGGAGGGGGATGCAGAGCAGGATGGAGTGAAGCAGCAACCTAATCGCCTGATAAGAGACACAGCAAGAGAGACAAGGTACACAGGTTTAGTTAAAAATGAACTCGGTATGTTTAATAAAGCTTGGTAAACCAAATCGCAGTACAAACATCAAGTCACACGGCCACACAACAGTACCCCGGTAATAAAAAAAAAAAAAAAAAGAAAAAAAAAGGAGGGGAGGAAAAAGAAAAGAGGGGGTAATAAAAGAAGAAGGAAAAAAAAGAGTGGTAAGAAACAGGGGAGGGAAAAAGAACAAGGAGGGGAAAATAATAAAGGAGGGATAAAAGGAGGAAAGTAATTAAAAAGCTCCTTTCAAACTTCGACAAGGCTCATGCCAAAATAAAATAATAATAATTAAAATAATAATAATAATAATAATAATAATAATAATAATAGCAATAATAATAATAATATAATGGTGGTGGTGGCAGCAAGGAAGGAAGTGAGGTTAAAACTGAAGGAGGGAGGAAGGGAACAGGAAAGCAGGGAGAGGCGGACACTAAAACCCAGTCGATATAAAAGCTCTAAAAGAGCCAGCCAGTAAAAATATCACAATGATACAGATACAAAAAGGATAAAAAATAACCATTGGGGTGATAAAGCAGGCTACGCTGCCAAGGACAAAGATGGCCGCCCTGGCTCCGACCATCAAAATGGCTGACCCCGGCCCG